TTTTCTGTACACATCTCTCACACTTTAGAAAGTGGATAGCTGAAGGGGTTAGAGAAGAGAAGGAAATCAAAAGGGGAAGGGGAAAGGACCGTGCTGAGACCCAGTGGTTAATGGTTAAAAGCAAACTATGTGTGCTACACATCTAAGGTCATGCAGCACTGTAGGAAGGCATAGTAAAGGTTAGTGAAGGGTTGCTGAGTTAGTAATGAGTTGCTATATGTCAACAATGGTTAATGGTTAATGGTTAAAAGCAAGATAAATGTGCTAGACATCTAAGGTCATGTAGCACTATAGTTAATGTTAGTGAAGGGTGGTTGAGGTAGTGATTAGTTGTCTAAGCTGGGCGAAGGAATTAGTGAGTGAAAGGGTTAAGGTCGGGTGTTATATTAGATAAAGGGTATGTATAAGAAAGGTTTCTTGAAGGCATACAATAGATGGGTTATAAGAGGAAAGGATATGATGGTCAGGTCTGTGGGAGCAGAAACCGCGAATATTCCAATGAAGGATAGTTATACTTTCGTTGATTTAGTGATATAGATTGTAGTACGTGTTGGAGAATTTGAAGGGGAAGCAGCTAGAGGGTGGGATAAGGACTGAGAGGTTTGAGATGGGAGAGGTGTGGGAGTTGGTGTTCTATCAGGAGGGGTATTAGGAGATGGAGGGTCTGAGGAAGGGGATACTTGTGACATAAGGGATTCACGTGTGTATCCAGGAGGGAGTGGAAGGGATAGAGGGGATGGTGGGAGAGTTAATGCGGGCAGGGTTGGGGTCAGGGGGGATGGGCTGTGTTGGGAGGGGGTAGGAGGGTAGGGTGTAGGGGGGATATCGTTAGGAGGAGGATGGATATCAGCAATTACTTGGAGTGTGGAAGGAGCAGGAGTTGTAGGTTGAGTGTCGGTTTTCATTAAGTAATCTTGAATATTTTCAATAGTTTCTTCTGTGGAGTTGGTTGGGAAGTTTTGAGGGATAAAGGATTTCTTGTGAGGGGGGGAAGAGAGGACTGGTGTCTCAAGAGTACGGGCAAAGGATGGTGGGGGTGATTGTGTGGTAGGGGAAGAGGGGGTGGAACGTTTGTTCTGTCTGTTACGGGGAGTGCGAAGAGGGAGAGGGGAAGGTGTTGGGGTTGTAGTGGTGATTGGAGTATCTGTAGTAGAGATTGGAGTTTCTGGATTTAGGATGGCAAAAGAGTTTGACTGGGGAAGGTAGGTGGGGTTAGTGGGAGGGTTAGATGTAGGAGGGGTGGGTTTAGGAGAAGTGTTAGAATGAGCAGTATTACTGGAGTAAGGAGTAAGAGAGAATCCACGTCGACGTGCTTCCTGTCTGGCTTCACGCAGTGTGAGTCCGAGTTTGAATCTGAGAGTTGCTACCTCAGATTCAAATTTGTAGGTGGGACAGCCCCTATAAAATACATTATGGGGGCCGCCACAGTTGGCACATGTGCGTGATTGTGCAGAGCAGTTAGATCGGGTATGGCCAGGTTGGGCACATAATGGGCATCTGGCTGTGGAACGGCAGTGTTTGGCTGGGTGTCCTAGACGCCAACAATTTTGGCACTGACGTGGAGGAGGTTGGTATGGACGAACAGGGAGGGATTCTCCTCCTATGTAGACGTTAAAGGGAAGGTCATGTCTACGAAAGGTAATTTTGGCTATGTTAGTGGGTTTCTTTCGATGACCTCTGGGGGGGATGGAATAGCATTGTACTGATGTTGCATCGTAGTCTGTGAGACAGGCAAGTAGATCTTCTCCACAATCTGACCAATCTTTGTCATAGATTGGGCAATTTGCTGGTGAGATTGAGACTGTTCCGGTGCAAGTATTAAGGGTTGGATGGGGTTCTGCTAGGATGGGGTTACCATATTGGTCAGTTAGTTTTGTTAATGCTATGGCTTGGTTTTCGGATGTTACTGTTACAAGACGGGAGCGGTCGGGTCGGCTACGGAAAGAGACTTTACCTACTTGTTTTTGGAGGCATTGTTGGAAGAGAAGGGTGTTGTCAGAGTAGGGAGCTGTGGGAGGGATCACGAAAAATCGGTCCCATTTGGCTGCACTGAAGAGAGTATTCAAGATTGTTTTAGAGATAGTGGTGGTAGAAGGGCGAGGGCGTGACGAAGATGGAGTAGTGTTGATGGAGGTAGTGTTATGGAGAGGTGGGCTATAAGGCTGTAAGGTATTAATAAGGGAGGGTGGGGTGTTTGATGTTGGAGGTTGTGGGGGTAGAGGTGTTGAAGTTGGGCATGCTGGGAGAGTGGAAATGTTCCTTGAGGGTTGATTGTTGGCTACTGTACTAGTAGGCATTGGTGAAGGGGTAGTTATTGCAGTGTTCGGAGCCGTGGTCAAAGGAGAGCCTGGGGTCGGGGAATCGGGTGGGTTTACTTCTTTGGGGCTATTTGATATAGGGGCAAGCCTCATTGCCCCTAACACTGGGGATATATTTTCATTACTGGCCATGGTAAGCCTGGTTATGTTGGGGATAAAAACAGTCCACCCCTCAGGGTCCCCTTGAGGGGTAAGGGCTAGATCTAAATCAGGGGAATACCGTGCCCATGGCTCCCTCAGGCCGTTCAGGACTGGCACAAAGTCAGCCTTTCATCCTTTCAGCACGGCTCTCACACCTTAGGAGGTGGATAGCAGAAGGGTTTGGTGAAGGGACAGAAACAAAAGTGGGAAGGGAAAAAAAAGACCATGCATAATTAGTTGAGTCGAGGGCTGAGTCCCAAGGTTGGGGAGTTCCCCATCATTGGGTCCCAGTCTCCGTCTCCTAAGCCCCCCCACGACAACAACGGGCAAGGGATTGGGGGGGTATATGTCAACAATCTAGAGTAATATTGGAAAGGTTAAAGAAGTTGATGAGTGAAAGCAGAGGTACGGGCTGCAGCAAAGCGTGGACAGCATAACATAATGTGTGGAACTAAAAGAGGGACATTACATAGGGAACATAAGGGGGGGGGGGGGGGGGTCAGAACGTGACATCACATAGGAGTGTGTTAGACGGGTGTGGCCAATACGTAAGCGGGCTAGAACTGTCTCCCAACGTCTGTTCCGATGAAATAGATATGACCAGGAGACTGACAGTTTAACAGTATATAATTTATAAGTTCGAAGAAACTGAGGCCCAAGGCAGAGGTGATCCCCAGCCTTGGGTCTCAGCCTCCGTCTCTTAAGCCCCCCCTTCCCCCCCTCGGCAACAACGGGCATGTGATTGGGGGTGGGTGGGGGGTTGTGTGATGGGGCCTTAAAATAAATGTCACTGGAGCTGCCATCTACACTGCGGAAATGACTCATTCTTATTTTGTATGATTATCATTCGTATTTATTTGAACTATAAATGCAACCATTTCCCCTCCCGCACGCCATTTTTTTTTTGCTTTCGTACCTTCCTCTCTATAGTCTTCGATAAACAATCCTTTCTCCAGATTACTCTATTGAAAGCAATTTTTTGCTTCTAGAGTTTTCTTCCAAAACCATTAATATATTCTTGGACAGACAAAAAAAAAAAAAAAAAAGATAAATCAATAACTAAAGAAAACAGGGTAAAAATAGATAATAATAACTTAAGTTAAGGACTGAAATCTTAAGGGAAACAAGCCTAAACTTTATAAGAAAATTTGTTCGAGCATAAATCCAATTTCTCGTTTCATTTAGCATACGGTCTAGAAAAAAAAAATCAATAGCGACTTTTATGGGCTTTATAGAGGCAAATTTTTGTGATAAATGTAGAACTGAGAGTAATTACAAAGTATCATTAATTATATGCAATAACGTTGCAATTTTCGAAAAGTCGATTCTGTAGCTTGCACTGTTGAATTTGTCTCGTTTACACCTTTAATTAGATTCATCATAATGACCACTACACTTGTCAAGATTTTGAATACGATTAATGCTTGATTACTGAAGAAAAGTTTTAAAACATTATCATTCATTTCCATTCATACTTTTTTATTTCTGTGACGTGTCAAAAAATGCTGGATTTAATATAAAGCGAATTTCACTTGTAGAGAGACCGCTGAAGTGATAATTAACGATTAATTAAAATTTCATAATGGTTTCCTTCACCAATTTCCCGCCAAATTTTATCGATTATCATTTACACAAAACACACACACACACACACAAAAAATCGTTTGTTTAATGTACTTTATCTCACAGTCTCATGGCCTGTCTTTTTTTTTTAGAATTGTGATATTCCTGTATGCAAAAATATGCAAAATGCTAAAGAATCATTGTATTGATTAATAAACAAAACCAAATGTATACTTTTTTTTTGCTTATTTTCCAAATGTCAGATGATATTGTTACAATGATAACAGTATTCATTCTTTTTTTTTTTACTTCAAGAGCAGCAGAAAACATGAACATAAAAAATGATAAATAGATAACAATGATAAATAAATGGTAAAGAGAGAGAGAACGAGAGAGAAAAAGAACTAGAGAGAAATAGAGAGAGAGATAACTAGAGAGAAATAGAGAGAGAGATAACTAGAGAGAAATAGAGAGAGAGATAACTAGAGAGAAATAGAGAGAGAGATAACTAGAGAGAAATAGAGTGAGAGATAACTAGAGAGAAATAGAGAGAGAGATAACTAGAGAGAAATAGAGTGAGAGATAACTAGAGAGAAATAGAGTGAGAGAGATAACTAGAGAGAAATAGAGAGAAATAGAGTGAGAGATAACTAGAGAGAAATAGAGAGAGAGATAACTAGAGAGAAATAGAGTGAGAGATAACTAGAGAGAAATAGAGTGAGAGAGATAACTAGAGATAACTAGAGAGATATAGAGAGAGAGATAACTAGATTTAACTAGAGAGAAAGAGAAAGAGAAAGGGAAAGAGAGGGAGAAATATATATATATATATATATATATATATATATATATATATATATATATATATATATATATATATATGAAAGAGAGAGAGAGAAAAAAGAAAGAGACGGGGAGGGAAAAAAAGGGCCAATAAATCATCACAACTAAAATCCACACACTCTTTTATTACACATTTCACTGAAGATCTTCTCTCGCTCTCAAGGCAAACAGCTCGAAGGTTTCCAGCAGCGTCGCCCACAGGGAATTGTCGTCCACGTAGGTCCGCGCGCCGGACGCCATCTTGCTCGCTAACCTGAGAAAAAAAAAAAACATAAAAAGGAAAAAAAAAACAGATAAGGAAAAAAAAAAAAAAAAAAAAAGAGGGAGGAAAAATGAAGATGTGGAAAATATAGGAGAACAGAAAAAATAAATGCAGAAAAAAAGGAATGAGAGAAAATGAGAACGTGGAAAATATAGAAAAGAAATAAATACAAAACAGAAGGAGAGAAAACGAAAACGTGGAAGAAATAGAATATAAATAAATAAAATGAAAATAAATACAAAACAGAATGAGAGAAAATGAAAAAGAGGAAATGAAAGAAAATTAAAAAAAAAAAAAAAATAGAAGCATATAAAGAAGATGAACATAAATACAAATAAGAATGAAAGAAAATAAAAAAGAGAAAGGAAATGAAAAGGACAAAAAAGAGAAGGGAAGTAATAAAAGAAAGAAAGAAAATAGAAAAAAAGAGAAACAAATAAGTGAGAAATAAAGAGAGAAACAAATAAATGAGAAATAAAGAGAGACACAAATAAGTGAGAAATAAAGAGAAACCAGGAAATAAAGAAATTCGGAGAAAAGAAAAAGAAAAGAAAAACAATAAAGAAAGAAAAATAAAAAAGAAATCAGAGAAAAAAGTGGTATTTGGTTTAAAAAAAAATGAATAAGAAATGGTAACAACAGATAACTAATAACTGATGATGATAAGAAAATGAGGGAAGGAAGAAGGACGAAATAGAAAGATGGAGGAGTAAGGAAGAGGAAGGACGAAATAGGAAGGAGGGAGGATGGAGGAGTAAGTAGGAGGAGATAGGGGGAAGGAAGAGTAAGGAAGGAGGAAGGAGGAGGGAGGAAGGAGGAGGGAGGAAGGAGGAGGTGGAAGAGAGGAGGAAGGAGGGAGGAGAGAGTAAGGAGGGAGGAGTAAAGATGAGGAAGGAGGAACGAGGAACGAGGAAAGACAGAGTACGAAGGACGAACGGGGGAATGGGGAAGGGGAAGGAGGGAGGACGAAGGGAAATGGGAAGGGAAGAGGAGGAAGGAGGAGGAGGCGAGAGAGAGAAGGACCCTAACCTAATGACCCAGGCTTTCGAGAACACAAAAGCCACTCCACAGCTGATAAAACTAAACTAAGTAATAATTCGTAAAACAACAGAAAAAGAAAATTCCAAAGTTGATGCAGCCCTTCTGAAGCCGTTTAACAGAAAAAAATAAAAATGAAATAAAATAAAAATCTATTTAGACGACGGAAAGTAAAAAATTGCTTGAGGTGAGTACAGTGGCTGATAACATGCCCCTGACTTGTTAATTCGTGTTTACAGGGACGACGAAGCTACCTGACTAAAGAAATTTTCTAGAAAAAGCTCTTAAAAGGGGAATGTTGTACCTATTCCCTACAACTGAGTGGCAGAAACACCGTGACCGTGTATTCATAATGAATAGAATAGTTACCTCTCAAATATCAAAGAAAACTGCAGTAAAAGATTACAGGGTAACTAACTTATATTTTCTCGATACACTTCATAACAGGCAACTAGCTTATTATCTTTTTTTTTCAAACACCTTCCATTCTTTCACACTAATCAGAACCCTCGGGAACATTGATTAATAACAATAATACTAATTACTTTATATCATCATATTCACTCAAGAATACAACATGCAAAAAAGAAGAAAGAAGAAGAAAAAGAAGAAGCTGTTAAATGTACCCAATATAATGGAAGATTTGAAGGTAAAGTCACCATGTTATCGAGAAAATATACACACAAATGACTTTCAAAGAGTGACATTTCCTCTTTAGCATATATATCAACACAACGAAAAGATAGTCGAAAGCGCAGGTACCTTTAACTAATACAATTTAGCTACAATCCTGAAATAAAAAATATACAATATCTAAATTTCTAAAATATATGCATTTCAAACCTACAAGAAAGCCATCGAATAGAGCTCAAAACTAATTAAAAAAAAAAAAAAAAATGAAGGCACAACGATATTCTATACCCTAATAAAAAAAAAATCTCATCCCAATCATTATTCACAAAAAAAATACGATACTAATTCTCTGCAATAAAAGTAACAGATAAGCTAATAAGTTCTATTAATTCATCGGTTTCAAAAAAAAAAAAAAAAAAAAAAAAATCCACAAGCACATCAAAAGACAGAAAAGTACTATACATTGAGTTCACACAATAGAAAGAAAGTAGGCCTATAGTCGACTCATAATACTATAGTACTACAGCTAGTTCCCATTCAACTTCTTTTTTACTACGTTAATACTACTACTCGGTATATGTGACAGGAAAGTATAAACGCTAGAAACACGGATCGAAAAAAATGTGAAACAAATGAAAAACAAAATAAAAATATTATGAAACTCATATATTAAGAATACAAAATTACACGAGGGATGATGATTGATAATGATTGATGATGACGATAATGATGATTGACGATGATGATGAGTGATGATGATTATATTGATGATGATGATTGATAATGATGGTTGGTGATGTTTTTTGATGATTGATGATGGTTGATGATGTTTATTGATGATTGATGATTATAACTGATAATGATAATTGTTGATTGATGATGGTGATGATGAGGATTCATTTAGTAAAATCAATTGACAACACTTGCAGCAATATTTTCCATTAGCTCATTCCTTAGCAGCCAAATTTCGAAGAATCTCATTCAACAAATTAATACGACATTAATTCTATAACGAAATCTGAGTCAGTTCACCAAGCACGATACCTCTACATAAATACTAAAATCAGAAAAGAAATCGGTTTAATATTAATTCAAAATAAAATTACTAATTATGTTATGAAACTCGAATTAATGTAACATATGTGAGATCAGGAAATATAATAGCAATAATTCTTATAAATTCGTTAGGAAAATGAGTTATAACGCTCCACATCCTTATTATTGGTAAAACGGACCACCAATTCATAATTCATTATTAGTCCAGCAGATATAATACAGAGATCAATTGACTACATATCTTTAACATATTCAGTATTGATTACTTTGTACTTTCTTTCTTTTCATCATATCATCATCACCACCATCACCATCGCCATCATCATCACTTCCATCATCACCATCACCAATCATCACCACCACCATCAATCATCATCACCACCACCAATCATCATCACCATCACCAATCATCATCAATCCTCATCATCCCGCGTTTAATGAATATCATTCAATATCATTCATTATCCCTCTACTTCAATCCAGGCAAATCAACCCCACAGCACTAACGTCTAACAACAACAAGAAATCAACCCTCCGTACATGAGTCCAGTAGAAGCTAATCCAGAGACGATCCATGCCTGTAGATTAGGAAACATGAAGAGCAGGCTTAGTCCGGCCACCAGTACCCCCGTCACGACCGTTGGCATCGCAGCGGAGAGATTCTGGTTTGAAAAGGTAGGTAGGTTAAATGTTAACGGTTTTAACGACTTTAACGTTTTTTTTGGGGGGAGGGGGGTGGGGGGGTGTAAAAAGGATGTAATGGGCAGTAGGTAAAATGTAATATATATTTGTATTTTTTGGGGGGGAGGGGTAATTTTTTTTTTTTTTTTTTTTTTTTTTTTTTTTTTTTTTTTTTTTTTTTTTTTTTTTTACGGATTATGATTTGAATAGGAAAAAAATCTAGGTCTTCACCATCCTTGTGTTTACAATTGGTATCGTAGTTAATAAATTCTGGATGGAGATAAAAGTGGTGACGGTTGACTGAAAAAAAAGGCAAAAAAGCTAGACATGAACAAGAAATAAAGAAAACAAAGGAGAATAATAAAATATATATATAATGAAAATAGGGAAAAAATAAAACCATAAGATCAAGAAAACAATAATAAAAAAGAAAAGAAAGCGACGCACCTGTATGCTTCGGCCCGTTTTCTCCACGGCCGAGGCAGAGTACCCGAGGCCCCCGCCGACGAAGGTCATCGCCATCCCGAAGACGTCGACGACGGAGGACACGCCCGTCACCAGGCCCTTCACGATGTTGGGGATGAACGAGACCACCTGTGGGCGTGGGGGGAACGTTAAGCCAAGATTTTTTTTTTTTTTTTTTTTTGGGGGGGAGGGGGGTGTTAATGTTGGTGTTGATGGTGTTGTTGATGTTGATGGTGTTGTTGATGTTGATGGTGTTGTTGATGTTGATGGTGTTGTTGATGTTGATGGTGTTGTTGATGTTGATGGTGTTGTTGATGTTGATGGTGTTGTTGATGTTGATGGTGTTGTTGATGTTGATGGTGTTAATGTTGGTGTTAATGTTAACGTTTTTTTGGTTTTGGTGTTAATGTTGGTGTTGATGCTGATGTCATTGTTATTTGCAAATAATTAGTATTATATGGTGTTGTGGTTGTTTGGAAGTAATTTTGTTGGCAATGAATGGAAGGCGTTGGTGTGGTTTAGAAATGACGTTTGTGTTATAAGAAAGGTTGCGTTGTTTGGAAATAAGTACGTCTGCTTAGATTATTGTAAGTGTGCAGAGGAAAAAAAAAAGATTTATTGTATGGAGATTATTGCATTCTATTCTGAATGTAATAATAATTATTCGTAAATTGAGGGAGTTAATGCGTGAGCAAAGGATTAAGTGTTCTGACGAGTGTAAGCATAAGAATAGTAATATATATATGAATAATATATATATGTAAGTATAGTGAATATATAAGTATAAGACTTAGTATAATGAATATAAGATGAGCAGAAGAATCTTCTTTGATCTGATAGGATTTGAAAAAGAAATCTGTATGGTTATATTACATTAAAAAATATCTGTAGATGTATAACTTGGTGGAAGACAAAGTACAGATACAGATACTATATATTTTATAAAATTTAAATAGTTTCCTTTATACAACTTATATTTTTCCTTTATGTAATTTATATATTTTATTTTGTATAATGTATTTGATTTCCTTTATACAATCTATATAATTTACTTTATATAACTTGCATAATATACCTTACATAATTTACTTAATCTAATTTAATTTATATAATCTATATACGACATACACTTCCCAAAATTACGGATTTTGAAGTTTATACATTAGCTCCAATTCTCTCCCTTCTTATCGAAACCCGAAACGTGGCGTAAAACACCCGTAGAATTTATCGCAGGCTTCCTTATACATTTCCTCCCCTTGAAGCTACGACGCACTCGACCTGCCTCTCCCGCGAGTCTATATCAACACCATCTGCTGGGACAACACCTGCTGGACCTGCCTGGACATCACCACGTTCTGGGACAACACCTGCTGGGACAACCTACAACCCCACAACCTGCCTCTTCCTTCAAAATAACCTTGAACTACGCAGATGGAACGAACCCAATGACCTCCCGTCTCTCATGAACCAAACCTCGATCTCCCCACGAATTGGAACAACTTACAACCTGGCCTTCTCACGACCTGGAACTAGAACACATGACCTGAACAACCAACAACCCGAACAGCCTACAACCAACTCTCTCCCACGACCCTCCCCAATACGTGGAACAACCTACAACCTGAACAACTCTCAACCTGCCCTTCGCCACAACCCTCAAATCAACTTCCCCCCCACGACCTGGAACCAACGATACAACCCCCACACGGCCAAGAATCCACAACCTTACCCCCCCCCTCTCACAATTCCTCCCCCCAACCCCAAACAACCTCTCCTTCACAACCCTTCCCCCCATCCCCTTCACAACCCACCCTTCCCCTCCCCCTAATCCCCTCACAACCCTCCCCCTTCCCTTCTCAATCCCCCCTCCCCCTACCAACCCTACCCCCTTCACAACCCTCCCCCTACCCCCCTCACAACAAACCCTCCCCCCACCCCTTCCCCCCTTCACAAACCACCCTTCCCCTCCCCTACCCCCTTCACAACCCACCGTTCCCCCACTACCCCCCTCACAACCCACCGTTCCCCCCCTACCCCCCTCACAACCCCCCCCCCCCTACCACGGCCTACCTGCCCCGCCAGCGACGCCGTGGAGGCCAGCGGATACAGGAACACGGAGAGGTCCCGCGCCTGTCGTCCGGCCGCCCTAACGATCCTGCGCAGCTCCCTGGCGTGGTCCACCTTCTGCGGGTTCCACTCGGCCACGAAGCCGGCGAGCATGGAGCCGAGGGCGTCTGCGAGAGAGAGAGGAGAGGAGAGGAGAGGAGAGGGTGAGGGGAGTGGGAAGCTGGGGGGTGAGGGGTGGGGGTGGGTGATGTTTGTTTGTGTGTGTTTTTTTTGTGTTTGTTTGTTTGTGTGTGTGTGTGTGTTATAATAAATATTTATTATTGTCGAGGAGCACTGAATCAATATTTTGTTTTTCTATAAATAATAAAGTGTACATGGTATATACACATACACACGCGCGTGTGTATGTTTGCATACATATATATATATACATATATATATATATATATATATATATATATATATATATATATATACATATATATATGTATATATATGTATATATATGTATATATATGTATATATATGTATATATATGTATATATATGTATGTATATGTATGTATATATATGTATATATGTATATATGTATATATATGTATATATATGTATATATATATATATATATATATATATATATATATATATATATATATATATATATATATATCGCTCATTTATTTCAACAGTGACATAACTCAAAAATTGAAGATTTTGAGTTAGTTATATCACTGAATTTGTCATTTTCTATATTTATTTGTGGTAAGAACGCCATAACTCTAGTATCAAAATTGTCCATTATATGTCGCTCAAGGCATAGTGACTCATTTTCTTTCAGACGAATCGTTTAGTTGGCATAGCGTTTTATTTCAGTTAAGTGTATTTTATTATATTTGATGTCATGCACTACATTGAATCCTGAAATAAAACTTCATTGCTAAATACCTCTTTTAAAACTTACATGGAAGACTGTATTACATATTAAAAGTTTATTTTGCTTCTCCTGAAAAGTATCCTTTTTTGAGTTATGTCATTGTTGAAATGAATGAGCGATATATATATATATATATATGTATATATATGTATATATATATATATATATATATATATATATATATATATATATATATATATATATATGTATATATATGTATATATATGTATATATATATGTATATATATATGTATATATATATGTATATATATATGTATATATATATGTATATATATATGTATATATATATGTATATATATATATGTATATATATATATGTATATATATATATATGTATATATATATATATATGTATATATATATATATATGTATATATATATATATATGTATATATATATATATATATGTATATATATATATATATATGTATATATATATATGTATATATATATATGTATATATATATATGTATATATATATGTATATATATATATGTATATATATATATGTATATATATATATGTATATATATATATGTATATATATATATGTATATATATATATGTATATATATATATATATATATATATATGTATATATACATATGTATATATACATATGTATATATATATATATATGTATATATATATATGTATATATATACATGTATATATATATATATGTATATATATATATGTATATATATATGTATATATATATGTATATATATATATATATATATATATATATATATATATATATTGAGTTAGTTATATCACTGAATTTGTCATTTTCTATATTTATTTGTGGTAAGAACGCCATAACTCTAGTATCAAAATTGTCCATTATATGTCGCTCAAGGCATAGTGACTCATTTTCTTTCAGACGAATCGTTTAGTTGGCATAGCGTTTTATTTCAGTTAAGTGTATTTTATTATATTTGATGTCATGCACTACATTGAATCCTGAAATAAAACTTCATTGCTAAATACCTCTTTTAAAACTTACATGGAAGACTGTATTACTA